ACCCAAGACCGCCAGTAAGGTGATAAAGCGTCCTCCCTTCCCCCCTTTACATCTATGCCCCTGTTCAGCATGAAGAAGGCTGAGAGTCAGAATCCAGCTCCCAAATCAATAAGACAGTTGGTTTAATTACCATTGGAAAATGCTTGTCATTCCTCTGTAGCATCTGGTCTCCACTGGATCCTCATCATTTCCTTCACCTCCTCCCCCCACCGACCAAACTGTCCAGCTCTGCAACTGCATCCCTGCCCATCCTCACCCTTCTGCCCCCAACCCTCACCTCTTTGTACCCCCAATATGTTTTTCCCAATTAAAAAAAAATCAGGACAGTGACAGGATGATAGAAAGAGACTTAATGCCTTTTAATTAGGGTGCTGGAGAAGAGTATTGAAGATACCATGGACTGCTAGGAGAATAAATGGATTCATCCTGGAGAGGAGGAAACCAGACTGTTCCTTGAAGACAAGGATTCTGGAGCTCCATCTTACATACTCTGGGAATATTGCAAGGAGGGACCGACCAGTCCTTAGAGAGGGACATCATGCTTGGGAGAGTGGATGGACAGCGAAGGAGAGGAAGACCGTGGATGAGATGGATTGACTCGGTGACTGGTGTAATGGGAGTAGGTGTGTCAGGGACAAAGAAGTTATCTCAGGATAGAGCAGAGTTCAGAGTCACTATGAGTTGCAGAGACTTGACAGCACATAATAAGAACAATGTTTTTCTTTTGAGGTCTATTTCAGGTTCACTCAGCTTCTTGAACATATGTTTTATTATTTTTCATGCTATCTGGAAAATTTTCTTCTAGCAAGTCTTCTAAAATTTTCTTGGTGCCTTCTTCCCCCCCTTCCTGCTCTGGAAGGGCATATGCCAGGGATGTGTCCTGTCTCCATATATTTTCTACCTGTATGCAGAACAGATTATCCAGAGGCTGGGCTCTATGAGGAGAAATGTGGTGTCAGGATTGGTGGAAGATCTATCAACAATCTGCGTTATGCAGATGACACAACGCTGCTTGCTGAAACTGAGGAGGACCTGAAGAACTTGCTGTAGAGGGTCAAGGACTGCAGCCTTCAATATGGATTGAGGCTCAATATCAAGAAGAAAAAGATTCTCACCACTGAACCAATTGGCAGCATCAGGATGGATGGTGAAGAGATTGAGATTGTTCACCGCTTTTGTCTGCTTGGCTCCACAGTCAACACTCTTGGCACCAGTAGCCAGGAAATAAAAAAAACGTATTGCAATGGGAAAGTCTGCCGTTAGGGACCTCTCTAAAGTACTGAAGAGCAATGGTGTCTCTCTGGAGACTAAGGTGCATCTGATACAGGCCATGGTCTTTGCAATCACTTGTTATGTGTCAGAGATTTGGATAATGACTAGGGAGGATGGAAGGAGAATCAGGCCTTTGAGCTGTGGTGCTGGAGAAGAGTATTGCATATACCATGGACTGCCAAGAAAACAAACAGATTCATCCTGGAGCGGGTTAAACCAGGCGGCCCCTTGGAGGCAAGGATTCTGAGGCTCTGTATAACATACTTTGGACATGTTGTAAGGAGGGACAGGTTCTTGGAGAGGGACATCATGCTTGGGAGAGTGGAGGGACAGCGCAGGAGAGGAAGACCCTCTATGAGGTGGATTGATTCAGTGACTGGGGTAATTGGGATGGGTGTGTCAGAGGCAGTGTGATTGGCACAGGACAGAGCAGATTTTAGGGCTGTTGTACATAGGGTCACTATCAGTTGCAAGCAACTCAAAGGCACATAACAAAGATAACATGTTATTCATCTTGATGATATCCCACATTTCTTAGACTTTTCTTCATTTTCCTTCTTTTCATTTCTTCTTTTTTGCTTTAATAGGTCAGTGCTGAGATCTGTTTTCTGTTTTGTGGATTCTGTGTTCCGTCTCTTAATTCTGTTTATCTGTCCCTGTAACATGTTGACAGCTTCTGAAATGTTGGTCTTGTATTCTGGATTGCTGTTTCTTGTTATATGGCTTCTATTACTTCATTGGTTTTGCCTGCTTTTTCTTGTTTTGATTTTTAAAGTTCTTTGAGGGCTTTGCTTGCATTTTCATGAAATTATTTGTATTTTTCTTTCATTTAGTGAAAACATTGATCATTGCTCTTTTGAATTCTGTGTCAGGAAGTTCTACCAATCTTTCCTCCTCAGGAGATCTGCTGACTCTGTGTTTTGATCACTTTATTTTTTTGGTAAAATATTACTTTGTATTTTTTTGTGGGGTTTGATCTTAAGGGTCCTTCTGTGTCGTTGTGGTGGAAATGTTTTTGTGAAATTGTAAATAAAATTTTTATTTAGCCTGTCTTTTTCTGGCATGTATGTGATAACTGATGGAATATCTGTGTATTATCTGCTTTTTCGTGCTCCTTGGTGGTCTATTGGTAAGAAACTGTGCTGCAATCCCAAAGACATGCATTTCGAATCCACGAGCTGCTCCACAGGAGAAGGATGGACAATTTCCTCCCATGCAATTTACCACCTCTGAAAATCCACTGGCGGATCAGCTAACCAACTGGGTTGGTTCAGATTCGACGGTACAAAACAACACCAACAACATCTCTTTGTGAAGTATGTTCCCTCCTGCCCACTTGTTAAAAAAGGTCTTTGCATCTGTGCTCACTGGGTCTCTGAGTTTCTGTGTATTAGGGGCTTTGTGTGAAGCAACATCTCTCTTCTATTCCATTGGCACTTTTCTTGGCTGAAGCAAAATCTCTCTTCTATTCCATTGGCACTTTTCTTGGCTGATCATCTGTCGACAATGGGTGAGATATAATTTTGTATTCTGTTTGGTGGTGGCCTGGTAGAGACACACCCAGTTCTTTGGGATTGTAAATGAAAAGAAGGTTTTGATCCTGTAAAGAGTTATTTGCCCAACTTTTGTATTGTCAAAGTCGTATTACAAAGTGTCTGTGGTCTTGGCTGTTCTGGCGACCCCTTTGGGATGAGCTGTGGGAGGCTTAGCTGCACACATCTGGGCAAGGGTGGAGGTGCTCCTTCCCATTTCAGGTGAGAGGCCTGCGCCTAACAGGTGGGACAGAGATTATCATCAGGCTATTAGGCTAGGGTGAATGGGCTGTAAGGGGCAGGGCTTCCTAGTACTCTGTTTGCTCATCAGCAAGGTCGGGTCATTGGTAAAGTCATGGGAGCCTGAGCGTAGGTCCCTGGCTGAGCAGTGTAGTCAGGGACACACTCTCCTGGCCACTGGAGTCACTAGGCACAGGCACAGGCACAGGCACCTGGCTGGTGGTCAATGGAGGCAGGGGTTCTGCTCAGCTTGCCTTCAGGTCAGAGGCTTGGAGTGTGGGTCCTGGTTAGGTAGGGTAGTTGGGGAACAGCTTCCAGTTGTTCTTTTTT